CCCGGTATATTGCTTAATTCAATGTACAGAAATCTACTATATTATCTTGAGGTCCAGAGGAAAATTCAGTATGTTAACAGACTTTATTTGCTAACCAGACCCGTAGTAAATGGAGATATGAAATGGTAGACGTGGATGTGACAGATTAGCGTCGGCTTCCTACGGGAGGCAAGAGGGGGGGGGGGGGGGGGGTGTTGCTTGTGTCAGGCCTTGACTCGATCTGTCTGTTCCTGGTGACACTGGTCATTCCTCCCTTTGCCCTGCCCAGGGGCGGGGCCTCCTGCGGCTATCCTCCAGGCCCACCCTCTGCAGCTGCATTCTGTTTTCGCTGGGGTCAGGTCATCTGTGACTGAATGTCACACCGCTCTGCCACCTACCCTCGCCTTGTCCTCGAGGCGTTGACAGGCTGGTCCACCTCAAGGTTGTCCTATTCGCGCGCCTGGGGGAAAACTCGACGGTACCCGGTGCGGCCGCCGTCCCTCCTCCACGACGCGCGTCCTCGTCCTCCACCCGTCCTGTGGGTCGTCCTACTTCCTGTCGTTGCTTCGGTCCGTCCACGGCGCCTCACCATAGCGCCATATCCCGGAGACGTCCTCGGCATAGTCCATCCGGAATCTCCCGCTCTCTGTGGGGTCCCTCACCATCGGTCACGTGCGGGAAGCGTCGGTGTCGACGATCCGGCCAACGGCAAACAGACCATGCACACACACACACAAGGGCCAGGATAGTAGGAGAGAAAGTTATGACAGAAGTGGAGGTGGGGGGGGGTAAACAACCTACTACGATCCGGTAACAATCGGCATAACAATTTGTAATTTGTATTTTTTTCTTGTTTTTTTCCTTCATGGAATGAACAAGGCAATCCGCAAGGATCATCTTGAACCTCCATCATTCCGATAAAGGGATAGAAAGGAGAGAATAAGTTTATATGCACAAAATAACGGTGCCTTATGGCCTAGGTCCATCATACGGGGGACACGAGGAAGCACGCTCGACGGGCTTACTGCTAATTCGTTCCTCTTCCCTATGCATCCGATATGCCTAATAGGAGGAGCAACACGCCTGCCAAGGAGACATAGATAGGGTAGATAAAATCTACATGAAATCTCGACATCAACCCCACGTCCGCGTCCTGAACCTTACTAACGTCCCTTAGATGCAACTTCGGGATCGTGACGTTGAGTGTCGGCAAGGTCAGGATTGCAGGCCTAATCGCCATAGGATCTGCAGCTACGTCCTTGACGATGGACTTGATTGCCGGAATTTGTAGCGACAGGAAACGTATCCCGCAATGATGAGGTAGTACAAAGGTTCCCTGCAACATCCTATCTGGCTGAAGCTCCTCGCAAGCAATTGTGGCGACCGTTGGCTAATAGAAATAAATCAGTGTCACCTGCAAAAGGCTGAGCATGAAAGGTGAGAGCTGATCCTGAACTTCCTCGAAGGAACAGAGGGAGGTGATCAGTCCTCCGGAAACAAGAGCACGAGCACAAGATGGAGTCTGAAGAGAAGAAGGTAGAGGTGAAGAAAAGTACACGAATGTGTCCCTAGTAGGCCTTGAACAAGAGTTTAAGAAGTCGGAGGAAGGGAAAGATAGAGCATGTCCTCCTAATTCTCGAAGAATGAAGGTGTGCGGCACGTAAACCATTTAATGTGAGTTGTTTGGTTTGTGTGGGAAAGAGTGTATGCGGTACTCCTTAAAGACAGTAGAAGGACACACTGGAATAATAACAGACAGCCCTGAGGCAGTGAGGAAGGACCTCAGACTAGCGTAAAACCGAGTGCGTTTCTTTAAGGGGAAGAGAGTCTCGCGAGAGGAAGACACTCTGAAGTACCGCGCCCATGTCAGTAGGCGAGATCAGGTCTCCGTGCGCGGCATGAATGAGAGCCGATGCCAAACTAGTCACTCGCTGTATAATCTTGTACATCGTACTCTGGTATGAAAAAACAGTTAAGGTTAAAGAGGTAAGATGAGACACCTTGTTCACTGTAGCTACAATCTGACCGACCTTACCAAGCACAATATAGAAATCGGAAGCTAATTCCTGAACATTGTGTTCGAGCGTGTTGACAGCGTGAGCAGACGAGTCGAAACTGTGAACTACAGACGAAGAGCCTTCCCTGTACTTTTTGAGCTCGGATGCAAGAGTGTCGTCATCCACAACTCCGAAAAGTCCATGTGCAATTTTGCCAACAAAGCTGAATAATCCTCGCCGGGTCCTACCCGTAGATTTGAGAGGTCCTATGAAAGAATTCAACTCTGCAATCGTCGAGGATAAGACGCGATCGGATTGTGGAACGTCGTGTGTATCCAGAGAGGCATCAATAGTGAGATTATCACGAAGAGAGAGTAACTGGTCCCTGTGATATAGCATGAGCCTGAAGCGTTGCGTAGTGGCAATAGCGAGAACCAGCCCTCCACGTGGCTTGTTATTGGAAAGACCTTCCCCAGGTCCTCAACCATAGCCCCAGGTGCGTTCATCACGTTATGCGTCAGACG